GTCCGACGTAGACATCACCCGATGCGGCTATCCCTCGAGGGACAAATAATCTCTAGAGTTTTTGTCGGCCGTACTCCGCGTACTTGTCGGGACTTGTTTGTGTAGTGTATTAACTTCATACGGTGAGACAACGCCCGTACCCAGGACGCTGTCGTGCTCGGAAAGGAGGAGGAGANGGAGGAGGAGAGAGAGAGAGAGAGAGAGAGAGGCAGCACGGCTGCTGCACTCAACAAAGGGGGTCCCGGTGCTTCATCACCGTACCCCTACCTTAAAGGTTCTACACCATCTGCGTCACACTTGTACGTACGGGTAATGTAGTAATGTATCTACCATGTCCGTAGACCCACGAAGAAAGAGTACTTTTTCTCCTTGGTCTTTTAGGTGGGCAAACGCGGGCGATGCAGAGGGCAAGCACGGACGTTGTATGTATATCGTACGGGTGTATAAGCATTGCGTAACAATCGGATGCCGCGGTTATTGGGGACAGTTAGTTTGGAGGGTTTTAACGGTTAACTTCCTGGGAGTAAAACTGTTTGATGCGAAGAAGTCGTCTCCTCCTGCTGGTCATTTATTATGTGGGCAAACGCGAGCGGATGCATAGGGGAAGTACGGAATGTATCGTGCGGGTGAAGCACTGCGCAAAAGACAGACGCCACTTGTTGGATGCCAGTTTCATTTTTCAATTGTTCCTCCTGAAAAAAGACTCCCCCGAACAGGCAAGCCTCCCCCGAAAAAAACGCGCAAGGCGCAACGGATGCCACGATATTTTTTNGAAGTACGGAATGTATCGTGCGGGTGAAGCACTGCGCAAAAGACAGACGCCACTTGTTGGATGCCAGTTTCATTTTTCAATTGTTCCTCCTGAAAAAAGACTCTCCCGAACAGGCAAGCCTCCCCCGAAAAAAACGCGCAAGGCGCAACGGATGCCACGATATTTTTTTGAAGAGCCTGCTGTTGAAAGAAACAAAAACACATGGAACGCATGCCCTAGCAACTGCAGCAGCAGCAAGGGCGAAAACCCGTTCCCATTTTTCCCTACCCCGAACAGGCAAGCCCCCCAGAAAAAAATGCGCAAGGCGCAACGGATGCCACGATGTTTTTTTGAAGAGCCTGCTGTTGAAAAAAACAAAAACACATGGAACGCATGCCCTAGCAACTGCAGCAGCAGCAAGGGCGAAAACCCATTCCCATTTTTCCCTACCCCAACCAGACAAGCCCCCCAGAAAAAAACGCGCAAGGCGCAACGGACGCCACGATATTTTTTTGAAGAGCCTGCTGTTGAAAAAAATAACAACACACGCAACGCATGCCCTAGCAACTGCAGCAACAGCAACCCCAACCAGCTAGATAGTTATTGTTGCCCTTCGCCTTCGCCAGGTCTACCTGGAGTTGCATATCCTGATTTGGTGATCACGATCTGCCTTTTGCTCTGCCCGTGCAGCCGCCCTCTCCACTTCACGCTCTTGTCTGTCGTGTTTCCTTCCATCTTCCCGCATTGCCCTCTCGTGGGCCATCATGTCCAGGAGCTTTTGCCTCCTCCCTACTTCTCGTTTAGCTTCCGCCGCCCGCCTCCTCTCGTCCTCTTCACGTTTCTGATCGGCGAGTGCCCGAGCGTCAGCCACCTGTCGCTCCATGAAGCTGGGACACGTGGCACAACGGCGCAAGAGAGGCACCAGGGTAGGGAAAGCTCTGGCACCTCCCTGATGGAGTAGCCAACAATAATGCTGCGATGACACTTCTCTGGTACAGGTTCGGTCCACCAAAATAATCTAACAATAATGCACGGCGTCTACCACACGAAGGAGTTGCCAGAACCAAGACATGGGTAGAGTCGATGAACAGCCTTACCTATCTAGCCCATCCTCGGTGAGCTTATTGGCCTTGGCACGGGGCTTCCTTCCACGGTTTCCCGAAGGCCTACTCGCCGCCCCTGAAGGGTCCATGCCTGACATGGCGCGCGCACCCCCCACTGTTGCAGAACCGGGGATGGATGTCTGACCGGCGGCGGACAGCCCGGAGTTCGTCACGCCGGCGCCAAGCACCAACAACCTCGCCACCCGCTTCGTAACCTGAAGCACCTTGTCCGGCGTAACACGTTCTATGGGCCATCCGCTGTGAAACTAATTCGATTCCGGCAGGCTGCGGAAGTCCATCATTTCCACGCCGTAGAGCTCGAGCAGTTTAACCATGACCGACTCGTCAAACCTATCAAACCCGGGCAGCTGCATATCCTCTTCACCAAGACCATCCATGTAGTCCTGGACGCTGTCTCCGTCGCGCTGGAGACTAAGCCTTTTGTCGAGTAGTACCGTCGTCATGGCCACGGCCCTTTCCGGCTGAACTTCGACCGTGAAGCCCGTGTTGAGGAAGTAGTCCGCCTCCTCCGTGGTGACCCCGGCACTTTGCGCAAGCGTCGGAATGCTCAGCGACCCCATGTGCTTCACCAATTCGCCAAGCGGTGGAACCTTCCTCGATGGCCCGCTCCCCGCGGGCGATAAGTCGTCGTCTAGCCCGCCCGTACTCATGGTCGGGCTCGATCGACCGCTGGCAGCGCCACCCGCCGAAGCCTCCGACGCGGGCCTCACCCCCCCGATGCTGCTGGCCGGACTCACCCGACCGCTGGCACGGCCACCGGCCGCTGCACCGGAGCGGGAACCCAATGCGATGTTATTGGCGGCAACAGCTTCTTCGAATGATGTAGCCTTCGCGCCCGGCCCGCATCGGGCGTTGCCCTGGTTGATGGCCCACATCCCCATCGCGGAGTGCGAGGCCGCCTGGTCGGCTTTCTTCTGCTTGGTCTCCTCCGAGTCCTGCCTCGCGGCAGCCTTCGCGTCCACTATCGCGGTAAGAACTTTGTCCTGTGCGGCACATCGCGGACAAGAAGCAACATCGGCGCGGCAGCTCGTCAGCTCTACGACTCACAAATTGCATCACCAGCGTCGGCGATAGCTATATGCATCGTCTGTTTTGTACTTCCGTGTCAACACTGCTACGTCACGCCCGTAAACAATACAGAGTGGGAGTGAAAACCTCGACGCTGTTTTGATTTCGTGGGTGAAGGACCGTCTCAGCAAGCTAACTCTCTGCACGTTTTGCGTCGCCTGGCGTGTAGCACTCGGGCTTTCGTGCTGTCTATCTACTTCTGTCTTTCTTTTGTCATGCTGCGCATTTTAAGTTGGACTTACGGCTAACCCTGTGCGTACCCCTCTTATCTGCAAGTGTAGCGTTGGTGACGACGGCAGGCATTTTCTTCGGTCGGGACAGCGCAGGTCTTTCACGATATTCTATGGATCGTGGATTCTCCATGTGCAGATATTCGTGCCCGTCTTGTTTAGACTGTGCCATGATCGTGTACACTCAGGCTTGCGCCCGTCACAAAAGGTAGAGATAGCTTACTGGCTCTGGACCCCTCACCAGCTGGACCTTGGTATTCTTCTCTACGTCGTCCTCCGAGCCACTCTCAGCAGTGCCGGCTCCGGAGTCCCGCAGGGCCTTACCATCGCTCTTGCTCTGGTCGTCAACGATCTTGTCGTAGCGCGACTTGCAATTTTTGGACGCCTTATCCTTGAACATCCTGACCAAGGGCTCCTGGTTGAGAGTCTCCCAGCAGGTGTCCCACCTTTCGCCGACCGAACGTCTGCTCCCATTCACTATCCACACTTCGTTCTGCAGACCTGTAGGGGACAAGGGTGGGAGCGCCTTTGATTGTCGTAGTGGGGACTTGCTTCGGCTCCATTTTTTACACCAGATACATGTGCGTTTTGAGTAGAGGAGGGAGCATAGGTCTCGCCACTAAACGAGTCCGTGAACACCGGCCGTCTTGCAGCGCACGGAATGGCTGTTGCGCAGAGTGTCAACTGCACCGGGTCCGCGGTGCTTCACAGTAGTTGTTTCGACATTCTTTCGGGTAGACTGCATCTCCTGTGGGACGCAGCAGCGGATCCGCGCCCACCATAATATCTGGGCTATGTGCCGTTGTGTAGCGAAAATGTACTAGTCGAGTACACCTTGCGCTTACAATTTTGTGTGCACCTTTGTCCTGCTGGTTCCATCTAAAGGCGACATGTGACATTCCTTGCAAGTAGACTGCATCTACTGGGAGATGCAGCGGCTTTGTACGCCCAGATAACTCGTCGCTGCTTTTAAATTTTAAACATGATGCCACATGTGACGTGACGTGTATTTTTTCCACGTCNAAACATGATGCCACATGTGACGTGCAGTTTTTCCACGTCGGTACCAGTGCAAGAAAGTCTCACCTTCTTCGCCAAGCAAGACTTGTATCTCCCCTACGAACACCGAATATAGCTTTGTGTTCCTACCCTACTCCGCTGCTATTCGATTGAATCTTTCGTATATGTTGTGCACTCGTTGCACCCTCGTTGCCAAGGATCAATAATCTGGTTCGAAGTGGCTGTCTCTTTTACAGCAGTTCAAGAACAGCGTGCATGTGTGCGCGCGAACATGGGTCGCTCTCTCAACCCCAGCAAAGAAAACATCTAACTCCAGCACAGGAAATCGCACCAGTACGGAGACAGCAAGTACGTATACCACTGCTGTGGCCGGCTGCCGTGGCCGGCTGCTCCTGCAGTGCTGTGTCGCTTCGGAGCGTGTGGGGGTGGGGTTTGGGGAGGGAACAAATTCAAGCCAACAAACGCCTCTCTCTAGAAAAACAGAGCATACCCTTGCGCGGGGAAAGACTCACCCGCCCTTGCCAGCGCAAAGTCGTAAGTAGGAGGCCACTTCGTGCTCTTCCTAACCCTGGCCTGCTTTGCTGCTGGTGCTGCCACGACTTGGACATCATCGTCGCCTCGCCCGGCCGCTTGCTCCTCTCCTCCCCCTGCCTCGAGGTCTCGGGCGTGCTGCTGGCCTAGAGCCGCAAAGCCCACCCGACCGGCTGCCCGTGCCACCTCCCTCCTGGTAACCTCGTCGCGCNCCGCCTCCCCCGGCCGCTTGCTCCTCGCCTCCCCCTGCCTCGAGGTCTCGGGCGTGCTGCTGGCCTACAGCCGCAAAGCCCACCCGACCGGCTGCCCGTGCCGCCTCCCTCTTGGCAACCTCGTCGCGCGCCAGATCCAGGGCCTTTGCGCTGGGCGCTGGCCTTCTCTTTGGGCGGGTGCTGGACATGTTCGTAGCAGACTGCTGTGTGTGCGTGCGGGTCTGTTGTGGTGGTGGTGGCTGGTGTGGGTGTGTTGTTTCGAAGAAAGTTGCTTAAATAGTTTTCTTGGCAAAATTTTCCGCAAAACGAGCCTCGCTCCGCTCTAGAATCGAAATATTTTTTCCTTATTTCGGGTTCTGGCGAGACTGTCGGGAACGATCCTGGGAACGATGGNAGTTTTTCTTGGCAAAATTTTCCACAAAACGAGCCGCGCTCGGCTTTTAAATCGAAATATTTTTTCCTTGTTTCTGGTTCTGGCGAGACTGTCAGGAACGATCCTCAGAACGATGGCTTAACTCAAAATATTTTTCCTTATTTCAGCTTTTTTTTTGGGTCCGAAACTGTCAATTGTCTATTTAACCTAAATGACTACAGCTTCATCGACGGGATGACAATTGCAGCACGCCAATTATAGAACAAGCCGGTGCATTGGAGANTTTTCCTTATTTCAGTTTTTTTGGGGGTCCGAAACTGTCAAATGACCGAAACGACTCATCATGTACGGCGCAAGAGCGGCGTAAGACAACGGCTAGGCGGCTGCAGCGCATGAGCGGCCTATTGTTGGAAAGCACGAGGGTCATCGGTGGTTTTTCGGCAGACAATGTGCAGCCGATGACCCATGACCACCCAAGAAGGCTAGACTACTGAGCGACCATGTCCACCCTTGACGGCCCATAACGAGTCGTGCCGACCCATGTGGCAGACAGCAGTTTGACGGATAAATGCCTACTGCTGTAGATGTCTAGTCTAGACTACGGGCCGTCGTGGATCATTGATGGACCGTTGGTACTGACTGCCGCCTTTCTGAAGCGTCTATGCTGGAGGTTTGCAAGGGCAGGTGGTATGCAGTGGGGAGGGATCTTTCAGATAGGTGATGCGTAGACTAATCCGGTCTACTCTGTACAGCAGTAGTGGGGTCGTGCTCAGGGTGGGCTCTACGTAATTTTTTTGGACTCGAACATCGAACATCGAACAAGCGGCGTAATCATGTG